CTCGAAAACGATGCGCTCTGGGCAGACAACGCTACCGACACACTTTCGCATATGATATTGGTGCGCGTGTTGTCCTCTTCGTTATTCATGGTGCCCAGTAGACAATATGCCGCCCCTGTTCGGCATCCGACACACAGGAGTGGACGCAGCGAAACCGTGAAGTGGATCTTCGGCCAATATCGGCAACACGAGATCTACGCCGCTATCATCCAACATGCCAAAGCCACTGAAGTCGTTCACCCCCGCGACGCCAAGCGCCCCCAAGCCACCGGTGACTCTCGCAGCTAGGCCACATGCACGCACAAGCCCCGGCCACCCACCACGCCAAAACCCGGCAATCAAGCACGCCTAACCTGCTCAAGAAACCAGCACCCCGGCCGCCGAGCACCCACAAGCCAATAAGGACGTCCATCACAAACCCCGCCGCCATGCACGCCTATGCCGCTGAAAACGTCTGTGCCCCTGCCGGTAAGCACGGTAAAGCCACCGGTGACTCCCACACCCCGGATGCCAAGCTACCCGAAGCCGGCGCCGGAGTCCATCTCCTGCACAGGGCCGAAGCCGCCCCCGATCCTCAAGGGTACCAGCTCTGTGGCCCCGGCCGGTTCTTCTCGCCTGCCCTCCCATAGCAAAGCACCAAGGCCACCTTTGACGGCTCGCCCTACCCCTCGCTCGGCGAAGCCCCACAGGCAAACAAGCCAAGACCTCCACCATGCCCGCGTCCCCCGTCGAAGACTCGCCTGAGCCGACGCGACAGCATGGGTGCGTCTGCGTTGACAAAGACTGGCGGTGCTCAAGACTCGGCCGATGGCAAGGGGAAGTGCAACGGCGGCAGCAGTCAAATGGCTATCAAGGCGACGGTGGATGCATGCATGGGACCTAACGGTGGTGCTGATTCGGCACGAGTCGGTTGTGTCGACGGCAAGGCCTTGGACAGAAGGGAGTCCGGGATATTGGCGCAGGATGGCCGCGACAACTGGAAGCGTTCCCGTGACGAATCAACGGAGGACGCCTCGGCGGCAAAGCAAGGCAGCCGGGGCATGAGACCTAAGACAGGCAGCGACTCGGAGGGTGCATCAGGTTCGAAGGTGATTCGACGTCAACTTCATCTCCTGGGAAGGCGGACGGTGCAGGAGATGGCGATATTGAGGGGAGAGAAATTGTGGAGCTGCCTAACCGGCCGGTGTTGGAGCGAGCATGCATGCATTGCTTAGGGGGCGCCTTAAACCCGCGAGGGCCTTACGCCGCGTGGGGCGAAACTATGCAACAATTTTGTACAACTAGATATTCCGCTAGCTATCAGGGATAGTAAGAGCAGAAAATAACCAAGCAAAGTAAACTTTACACCAGGTATCAATAGTACAAGTATTAGGTAGAAGTGTTGGTGGATGAAGCTGTTGAGGGACAAGAGGTGCATGGCGGGGCTTTCTGTAGTTCCCAATAGGACATTGAGTTTCCTGGAGGTCGGTGCCTTGGGTGCCGCCGTTTGTGGGGCGGGAATACCCTTTCACCGCCCCCCGGCAGGCGGAGAGGCCAGGCCGTTGGCATCGACGTCACACAACATTTCATGTCCTCGTCAAACGTGCTCATGAAAAGAGATCGGCCGTGCAAGCACCCGCTCATGGGGGCAAAGATCAGAGCGCCACCCTCGCACCCCACGCTGGTAACTCTTAGCGGCTAGGGCTTCGGCCGGTGCGTCGCTGAAAGGAGCTGTATAGCTGTTCTCCCTCTCATTTCTGTCCCTCTTACTCCTACCCCCAAAAAGAAAATATAAGCAAAACAGTGACTCCACCAAAGTGGGGCCCCGGTATAAGGCCATATTAGCAAGGCGGTTTCCCAGTCTAAGGCGACTGGAGCTGTCATTGATGTGGTTCAGACCCGGTATTCGGCGATATCAGTCATGTCCAGGCTAGACCGTACTCGTGAGGTGGTACGAAATACAAGCCCGCACACCTTTCTGTCACTAGGGGGTTTCAGGAAAGGGAAGGACACAACGAGAGAGCAAAGTCGGGGCCCTTCTACGTGTCAGCACAATATCCCACGAGGGACTGTCTCGGCTTTGCTGAAAAGGTATACACGGCGGCAGTTCCTGGTTCAGCTTACAATACTGGTTGTTATTGTTACCCTCATTGATTCTTGGAATAGTCTACTGCTTCTTGGTTTGTGGGCTCCAAGATCTTGTTCAATTCTTCATTTCCCGAATTTTCCGTGCTACTTCGCACTTGCTCTTGCCTCTGAAACACAAATGTCGATGAAAACACTACAACAGAGTCAATCGCAAACACCGGTGCGTGTGTCGCTGTCGTTCGATCAGCTAACCTCCCCAATAAAATGTATGAACACCGCAATAGAGATACAACATCACATCCCGACAACTAGCTCAGGGTGGCGAACGTTGGGGGATGTCGTAGATATTTCTGAACTTCCGGACGCCCTTTTCTTGGTGTAGGTCCATCACCACCGGCACGCCAACGGCAGTGTGTCTTCGTCAGTGCGCTACGACCCAAAAGGCAACGATGTTACGCTCAGTGTGCAGCGCGGTACGCGCAAACTCAGGCAAACCGAGGGGGGGGAGCTGGTACCGAAAATAACCCGCAACACTCCGCCCTAGCCCCAACGCTCTGGGGGATACGAACAAGGAGGGAGATACATGGTGATCCCCGAGAACGCTTAGTATTCTACACACTCCCCGCTTTACCGCTCATGGTAGTGTCTTGGGGTTTTGGGGGCGTCCTTGTTTTCTTGCTACAGTCTGATTCGTAACCCGATCACGACATCTTCGGGCGCATCGAAACCATTATTTTCAGCGACGTGTCGCCCAGTGTTCCTTGCTGCTTGCCACAACAATGTCTGCACGTTGAATTACGATATTCCCGAGTTGAGTAGGATTTTTTGTTGTTTTGGCCCTCACTCAATGAGACCGCGGTATCTGCCTAATACATCGAACCTTTATCACGAGAAATCACAGGGAAGGTCGCGGGATCAGACATGCTGTCACTGGGCAGACGGCAAAGGTGGTTTGCACGAATGTTGACAATTTCTGTCGCTTTGACAGCGATGGAACGTACTTTACACGTAGAACACGAGCGAGCGTCGGTAGTACGTGTCTTTCCCCAATGAAGACATACGTATGTGAACTTGGCAGAGGTGATGCTCTCCGCAGTAGAATAGTGTTGACACCTCCTCCAATGGTGCCACTTTGGAGTCAAGTTCCGAGAACTTGTTTGTATTTGAATAGTGTTCTTTGGCTCACCTGCCACCCATTACAGGACTGCCTCCCGCACTTTGACCAAAATTGCTCCGTATGTCATACTTGCACAGATGAGCATTGAAAAAACAAGAACGAAGGAAACACGAAAATAATTTTGGCGGCGTAGCTCTCGCCCGGATCAGTCGACGCTGCAACAATAACAATTTTCCTTTAGAGACGTTTCCCCTTTGGTAGCGGCTGTGGCGCAGACGTAAATGGAATGAAGCGAACATTACGCAGCTTCAAGAAGCAGATGTTTTAACAAGACTACTTAAGCCAAGTGAAGCGTTGCGAAAAGCAACAGCAACAGAACGGGCAATAGTGTTCCCGTACGTCGGAACTATGCATGGTGGAAAGGTGAATTTTCTCCTCGCAACCCTACGGGGGGCAGTTGGCTCGTGACCACGAAAGGCATCCTCGTCAGTTAGACCAGTACGGACATTATAAGGTACTGGGTGGAGACCGGAACGGGTGTTGAATGTGAAGACAACAACAACAACAACAACAACAACAACAACAACTAGAACAGAGAAGGACAATTGGTTTCGAAGAGTTGGAATCTCGTGCTCTCGTATGTAGGAGCATTGCACGACAGCTCCTTGACCACCAATCTCGAAAGAGAAACGGCAAGGAGAGACGAAACACCATACAGAGCTATCGTCAAAGGGTCGTGAGGCATAGATACAGCATGGGGAAGGTTCACATTCTCACACGCTGCTTCCGAACACAACGAAAGCAACTCCCTCTGGATAGCATATAGATCCTTGAAATGTTGCGATGGTATGAACTGCTGTAGATATAACAACGGCTAGGAATCGTGGCATCCTGGCCTCCCGAATAGACATGACCTGTTCTCAACGCCGCTGCGACTGAGGACATGTGTCTGCACAATAGGTGACGATGAGAACATCCTGGCAAATCGAGTGGGGGTTTAGACTGAAGTCTAGACTATTATGAAGTGTACAAATACAATACACAAATACAAACACGCACGACAATGAGTACGTCACCGCGAACACCATCTCACGCGCCGTTTCTCACACCTGAAAACCGTTTCCTCGTCAAACATCACAAAAGCCACGATACGCCCTACACAATCACCGAGGAACGGTCTTGCCACGATCCAGGGAACCCAAGTTGATTTCCTTCTGCCCTTGCGAGGAGGCACCGGTACAGCAAGCGGCCTGATATAGTGGCAACTTGACCAGTGGAAATGCCTATATTTATAGTGGCACCAAATCTCTGGTCACAAACTCAACATGTACATAAACCCGATTTTGCATACAGTAGTGGCAATCCCCTGAATAGCATATTCTCCTCTTGCCCCGACATGCAACTATGTAGGGCCACCTTTTGCGGTGGACCTCGCGCCGAATCTGCCGCCAATAAAAAGTGGTGATATAAGGCATTGCCCGCGTCCTCGTCAGAAAACATTCTCACAAGGATCGACGGATGGATGTATGCGTATCGTCGTGGATACGGCGGTAAACCATCTGTCTGTGCAGCGGTGGTTCACCCCAAACATTAACTGAATTGTACTTACGCCGAAGACACCAGACAGCGCTCGAGTGTCGTGTGTCACGAGGGTAGATATCGAAGGAAAATGGAATAACGGACTCCGCAACGTCAACATCACCAAAAGCAAGACACCACATACATCGCTGGCAGGGGCCCATACAGCGCGGGTGTTCGCAAGTCAACCTGCGGCGTGTCCCTCACTGGCGACCAACGAGAAGCTCGAGCCCATAATCAAAGCACAGCCCGGCGTTCTACATTTTGTCAAGCTGGATGGCACACACCCACGGCATTGTTAAGTCGCAGCCACTTCAAAGTCCCAATCAGTGCAGACTCCCCAGGAGTCGAACTTGTCATACACGTAGGGCAGCCTGGGGTTCGTCGGGAACAGGAAATCGATGATCTCCTGGTTCGTCAGGGGCTCGTCGCCGTCGCCGAAGCCGAAATCCCGCTCTGAGGAATCATCAGACAGGCATGGAGGGAATAGTAACGTATACGAAAATACAGACGTAGCGAAGCCTTCCCCATGGCGCCCCCTCACGGGGCCCCAGATCACGACCTTGAGAAGCATTTCGTATCGTACTGAGACTGACGTACTTTCACTGGTCAGCCGTCGGTACCACCAATACAAGTCAACGTGAGGCGTGGGTGGAAGACGAGCGGGAAAACACCAGGCGACGCTGCGCCGGGGCACGCATCGAGCGCTCGACCCCGGATGTCTGGATGATGTCGATGCGAACAATGCGAAAACGTTCAACCCAAAGTGATGGAGGGAATATCTCGCCAAAGCATGGGTATCGTTCGTCACAAGCTTTTCTTAAGGCATGAAATCGCAACCAAGCCGCACCTGTAAACGGCATGGTCTCGTCCACCTGCCCGCCGGACACGCCGTCGCCGCAGTCAATCCCGACCCACGTGAAGTCGTAAGTATCCTTGTAGGTCGGGGAAAGCTGCAAGAGCTGCGTGGCTTTTTCGAAGATCGGGTGGAGTGCCCAAAACACTAGAGGATACGAGCAGGTGGAAAGCGGGGCCTGAAGGAGGTGAAAGACCGTGCTTTAGTACCATTCTTGTGAAGACGGCGAATGCAGAGTATTGGTGATGAGAACGCGTCTAAGTTTCCAGTAAGTCACCGAATTGTGTAGCAATGTCGCAATCGTGCGTGGCGTTATCCGATCGAGCGTGATGGCAGTGGATTGCGCCGCAAAAGTACACCAGCGAATACAAAAAAAAGTGGCACAACAGCATTTCAGAAGCGTAGGGAAGGGGGGAACACTGGCGGAATCGGCACTGAGAGAGGGGGGAGAGCAACACGCGTCCTCGGAAAAGAACGCGAGAATTACAAGGCGGAAGAGGGGGACGCAGAAAGCACGAAAGAGGACTTCGGCGGGAAAAAAAGCAACGGGTCTCGATTCCCCGGAAGCTGAAGCATCAAACAGACACAAGCGGGAGGGAGAAAATGCCCGAGAACACGCGTGATGGCAAGGTGAGACTGAAGAAGAAAAACGTGAACATTCCAGCGAAGGAACAGGGCAAGCGGCACATGGTTACCTGGGTCGAGGATGCTGGGTCCGACGCTCATTGCCCCCAGAGCGCCCGGTTCACAGCCGAGCGTCAAGAGGGTGCGCATGAGCAGCATGTTGTCGTCGTGTTCCAGCCGAACTCCGTCCTGTTGAGGGCGTGCAGAAGGTGGCACGGGTATCAGTCGGGGTAAAGTGGGTTTCGTGATAGCAAGTCGTGGAACGCCAATGCGAGGGGCATAGGGTAACACACAGCAGTGGGTCTAGTGTGTGCTCACCTGCTGGAAGCCGTACTGATAGGTGGCGCCGAGGTCCCTGTAGACGTACTTGTTGCCGTGAGCTCTGTTGTTCATCGTCTCCATTTGTGACTCCATCAAGTCGTATACCTGGCGCGACACACCCCACCAGCAAAAAACGTCGTTGTGAGCTTCATGGGCCAACGAAGAATTGTACCCTTGCCGCCGGTGCTTCTTGAGCCGCGCTTTGAAACTTCCGTATCCATTCCTAATCTGAGGTTACGATGATGACCTTGCTATATATTCTTGTGGCGTCGAGATTGCTCTTTGTGCTTCAAGAAGCGCCGTGCTATGCAAAGGAAGGGCAGCGCAATCCACAAGCACACCAAGACTCTACCACGGTACGGCAGCCTCATACACGCACTGCGTGTACAACGCTACAGCAGTAGGCTGTCGATCTCTTTCTCCAAGAGTTTTTGACTTCTGGCGAACTCTTTAGCCACTATCGCATGTCGGCCACGCGGAGAGATCTAATAAATCGGTTCAAACCTTCGCGCATGGATTCCGGACAAACTTTCAACACCGGACGCTGCTGCCCGCCATTGCCAGGCATGTGGGCATTTTGTGGTGTCAGTGGCTTGGCCCTGTTTCGACCAGTAGGCACACTGAGTGACCCATTTCGGCATCAACTCTGTTTTCAGGAACGACACCGATTGTACGTCTTCGAATCGCGCGTACACAACCAGAGCGTGGCATTCACCTCGTCGTCAGACCAGTCGTAGAAATCGGTGTCGCAAGTGCACCCGCAGTCCTGTGTCTGCCCCACGGTGCAGGACGTGTCGCACGTGTTGTGGCTCTTCATGAAGGAGTTGCTCGGCCACATGCCGACGAGGATGTACTCCAGCGCGAAGGACAGCAGCCCTGCTTTGAACACAGGGTGATCCTCCTGGAACTGCACCATGTCCACCTGTGCTTGGCAGTATGCGCATTGAACGACACGTGAGTATTGGACAGCCATCGAAAAAATGGGAAAGTAGCAAACAAATCAACACTGGCGTTTCAGCCACAGTGAGCCAGGGCACACCTCCCTCGGCAGCCGTTTCGTCCTTCCTTCGTGGAATGCCGGTCATACCCTTTGTTCGGCCCTTGGGGGGGCGACGCGAAAGACTTGGACGCGAGGTAGGTGTTTTTTTCCTTCCGTTCGGATTTCCAACCAAGATTTCTTGAAGATACGTGACTGACAATAATACTGTAGTGCTGACTGGAGTGAGATCCCACTCGCGAGGCGCAGACGGAACAGTCGCAATCGAGCACTGGGGGCTCTGATGTTGGGGTGTGGAGTACATGCCGATCCCCCAACAACACGAAAGTGGTTTCGACGTACAAAGGTCCATGTTTCGCGAGCCAACCATGTGAAAAACCTGTTTGCTCTCAAGTGCACCAGGTCAGCATGCCAAGCCCCATCTCCGTAAGTTGTCACAACGCGCCTGTGGCTTCCACAAATACTAACGTCGAGCAGTTCAAACATGCGATCCCTTCACCCATCTCCCACATGCGACCACCCCAAGTAGATCAACTCACGTTGCAGTTGAACGCTCCTCCCATCATTCCGTGGTTTGCCGCGTGGACCTAGAAAAGCGGTGTTTCGTCGACGGTTGGCAGTGGACGGCAAATGGGAGGCACGGTTAGACAAGGCTGGAATCATGCACGACAGCGGCAAGAAGAGAGAGCTCGAAGGGGGTGGCAAGCGGATATCCCTTGGGAGGGCGCGCTCTCTCAGGGTGGTACTAAATTTCAGAACTCATGTCCCGCAAGATAGTGTGTCTGTTGTCGTTGCTGTTATGTTTTACTTCCAAAATGTCACCTTCAACGCAAAGAACCAAACCAGGCGGCGGGGGCTAGCGTCAGCGCGTCGTGCTCTTCGTTTGTTTGTCTGGTGCTCTGAGCAGAATGCTAATCGAATAACTACCGCGGCCGCACACCGTCCACGGAAAGCAACTTAATCTGCGCATCGAAACGACGAAAGTCTGAGTCTGGCTGTACCTGATTTTCCATGCACTCGTTCCACTCAGAGATGTTGTCGTTTTGTTCGAAGCAGTTGATGAGTACATTACACGTGGCGAACTCCAACTCGCCCCTCACCCCACAGTATGAGGCTGTACGAGCGACCCCATCCACGGCCTGTGAAACGGCGTGCGAGGTTGGCGGGGGGGGGGGGTTCTCATAGGTGTGCATGCCGTAGTCGTTTGACTCATTGTCCTCGCATCCCCACAAAGCCGGGACGGAGTGGTTGGCGAGGGGGGGGGAGACAAAGAGTACAAACCACACCGAAGGGAGAACCGCTCAGATTTGGCCACTTGCCCGCGGCGATACCGGCAGGCGTTTCTGGAGGGCATCCGCACACGATTGCACACTTCGCGCCATGCATCTTGCCTACCTTCTGCCAGCTCCGAGACTGCCGATGTCGCTAAGATCAGCCCTTTTCTCGAGCGCGACAAGCGCTTTGAGTGCTGGAAGAGGCCACTTTGTGGCAATGCGAATGCGGCGGTGATAGGTCGTTGTGGCGACTGCGTTCCAGACGTGATTAGAATTGTCCAATTGCGTTTATTACCTCGAGGGCACACGTTTGGTGGCGTTAAGGCCACGAAGAGCAAAATGTATGCGGTCACAAGAGCATTGAAGGGGGCGGGGGAGTACAACGTGCAGTGTAGGAAGAGGCCAGCGAATATCGTACCTGGATGTTGTACCTCGCGTCAATGTATCCGTAGACGCTGTGGCCAGGGTTGATTTGTTCTTGCAAAAACGTCTCGTCCGGGTCGTAGATGGACTTCACGTCGGCAAACCAGCCCTCGGAGATCTGGTAGCCATTGTCGGGGGATCCCAGTGCCGACCCGTACATGTCGTTGCTGAAAATTACGCTGTCCGCCCAACTGCGGTGGATCGTCGAGTTTGGGTGTTGGCCCGTCGGGTTAATCTCCTGTTGAACAGCCCGCGGAGAAGACATGCCTGCGTCTACGAACGTCTAGCTATCGAAGGCCTGACGCCCGTTGAACAACAGTGCTCAACTCTCCAACGAGAGCAGTCGGTGTTGCATCTTGCATCGATACGCTGACCTCCCTCTCGGCGGGAGAAAAAAAAACCGCGTCTTTCTACTACCGAGAAAGTTGGAAAGCTGGTGCCGCAAGAAGTGCAAACCAAAACACGGTGATGTTACCTTGAGAAACCGCTCGTTTACGGAAATAAAAACACCTAGTGGCCAAGGATGTAAAGCGCAACGGTGTCCATATAAAGCAATACGTTTTCGTAGGGATGTCGGCGTTTGAAAGACGTGCACAGCGTACTTATAAAGCATGCTACGAGGAGTGCACCGGGGGTGCCGCCTGGTGGCACCGTGGAAGGGAGTGGGTGCGATAAAACGATACTGTTGTGTCCGACTTGTAGGGCTGGACTTGGATTGTCGGTTGGCCGAAACGGGTGACAAAAAGATGGTGCACACTAAATAATGGCCTGCCGCGGTTATTGTTCTCGCCAATGTGTATAGCACGGGCACCTTGTGTAGGGCATAGCGCAGACAACATTGCGTAGGAAAGTTGTCAGAGCATTTCTTTATTTGCCCCGAGCAATTTTCTCGCCGCCCACCCCCACTTGAGCGGTGGGTCGTGGGACCGTGTAGCGAGCAACGTTTTAGCAGTGGATGCTTCTCTTACTTTTGACCTCCAACATGCCTCGATGACTCTGGAACGGCGTCAGCGGGGAGACAACGGGTAGTGCTTGTTGCACTACAGCAGTACTTGATCTCACTCTGGTCCGAGGGTGGCGGCATCGATGGTGAAGTCCCAGTAGTGCATCGCTACCGTAGGGTCGATCATCTGCAGCGACCGCTCGGCCCACAGGTCGAAGGACGCATGGGCGTTGAGGAAGTGCATCCCCGAGTGGAAACAGTAGTTCTGAAAAAGGGCGATAACGGAAGGAAAAAAATAACGAACGCGAAGGGTGGCGGGCGTTCAACAGCCTCACTTCGTCTTAAGACGACAAAATAGCGGTTATTTGGTAGAGGATACGGTAGCGCCAACACGGTCCGTGAGCACCATATCCGAGTTTTTCCTTCCGGATACGAGATGTAATCCCGCTTCTCCTGTGTCCGCTCGGAAAACCAATCGCGCTGACCTCAAGCCGTGGATATTCCAAGGACAACCCTGTTTGTACGCCAGAACGTCAATCATGCACCAAAGCGTGCTGTGCTGAACGGATGGCATTTCGACCCCCCGCACTCACCCGCGAGTTGTGGTAGGTACTCATTATCTTGGAGTTGGCGAACGTCTTGCCGTACTTCTCCTTGCCGGCCTCCAGGTTGACCGTGTAGAATTCCCGCATGGCCGAGAAGAACGCCGTCCTGTCCGCGGAGGTCAGGTCCCGGAGCTCCCGCCGCACGTGCCTGCAGGTCACCTGTATCGTCTTCTCGGAGACTACGACCGGGACCGAGGCGTCGCCGCCGCCCTCCGGGGCGAGCTCCCGCTGCTGCACGCGCAACGAGTAGGTCGCCCCGGCCTCGATGAGCGTGACCTTGACCGACGAGCCGCTCGGGGCGTCGTTCTGCTCGACGATCTCAAGGTCGACCGCCTCGGGCTCGTCGTCGTCCTCGCGCACGAGCAGCCACGTGTACGAGGTGCTTCCCGACGAGGACGCAGAACCGGTCACTGAGATCGTGGTCTCCTTGTAGGGTTCCACCAGCATCTCGAACCCATACAGCGCCAGCGCTCCCCGGTCGTACTCGCCGTACTCGTTGGTAGCCACGAGGGTCAGCCCGCTCGAGGAGCCGCCCCGGACGCTGCGGCCTTCCTTGTCAAGCTAGCGTGCGGCGAAGACGAGCGACACACGGATATGGTTATTTGCTGCTTTTTCGTCCGTGTCGTTGTTTGGATTGTTTATTAGTAATGAGGAAGGTGGTGTGGTGTAGTCATTGTTGATGGTGTTGTTGCCGAAGTTGTGGCCGTGGTTGTCTCAGCAATGATCGCGTTTTCGGAAGTAGTGTTGATGTTGGCGTTGGGACTTGGTGACGTGACATTGGTTCGTTGCTCATGTTAGTGTTTAGGGCATCATTGTCAACTTCCAGCCGATCTGGTGTACACTAGAAACAACGCGACAAGGGGCATCGTCAGGAGAAAAATCCTCTACGCCACCTGAATATAATCAAAAGTTGCTCTTTGTTTGGTGTGTTCTTGTAGGTCAACTTGTTGCGACAGCGATTCGTTGCTTCGCCTTGAAGAGCAAGCAAGAAAAGGAACTGCACAGATCGGATTTCCGGGACGATTTGTACTTTGTACCGTTCAAGAGTACAACCGGAACCAACAACACCCTCGAAAAAGCGACAGAGAGAGACGTACAACAACCGAATAAACGAACCATGGCAAGCTACGGTGGTTGGTGTGTTATAGTCACATGCTGCCCCAGATGCCATCAGTCTACACCTACCGGCAATTGGACATGGCATGCGCACCGCCTACAAACCACGGCAAGTACAGTCTACAACTCACGACCCCAGTAAGATTCCTGTAATTTGCGAAGTTGTGGCATGTGTTTGTCTTACATGTAGCACACACTTTTGCGTACGTTCTTTGCGCCATGGCGCATACATCCGAGCTACAGCATGTAGCTCGCAATGACGTGGCGTGTGGGCGAGAGCGGCCGATGACGGCACAGGATGCGAAGTCATTCCAACGCACTGGCCCACGACCTCCTACGACAGCATGTAGCTACCTCTAGTCTAGTCCATAGTCTAAGTTACTTCGAGATTCGAGAATATGCTGGGTGTGTATCTACACCACATGTTCCTACACAGCACGCCGCTGCTGTTGTAAAGTAGTAGATGCAATTTTTTCATCTTGTTCTTCGGGTTTCTCAGCCTCCGACAGGTACGAGCAAGGAAAGCTATCGATGCATGAAACTTACTTCGAATTCCAGGACGCACGCGTGTACAACAAGCACGTGCGATGGGCAACTGGGTACCACGGTAGTCTGCAATGCATAGACGCAACCATTTCTTGTGTACTAGTCTAGTCTAGATCTAAAGCTAATGTGAGCATCGACAACAACAAAAACACACGATAGAATGGATGTGTTCCAGCAGTGTAGTCCGGACGTCTGGACGACAATACCGTGATCTTTCCGACGTACATTTAGTGTGGACTACTACTAGATGACTTCTGCAAGTCTTTCTATTTAGTCTTCGATACAGATCGACCACGTCCTTCCTGCCTACCTTCAGCACCCCGCGGTACGAGCTTCCTGTCGACTGCTGTGGGTCGACCCTGGCGAAAAGGGTGACCGCGGCGACGAAGCCAACACAAACGGCAGCAGCCGCCAGTCCCCGCCGAGAAGAGCTTCTTATGTTCATGGTTTCTCGCCGCGCCTCGTCGTCTCCTACCACCGCCGCGGCCGCCAGCTCTCGATCGATCGAAGCGTACGGGTAGGGGTGCTGGCCGTACTTTCCTCCGTATGACCGGCCACCCAGCGCTCGCAAGTGTCGGGGGACGTGAGCGCTTCCAATGGGGTTGGTTTCGGCCATTACCTCGCGTAATGCGTGCCAGTATATCCTGTCCGTCCACCCCTGCTGCTCCTCTCGGGGTTAGTACCGCCTTTGGAACCCCTACCGTGCCTGGCGTGAAGAAGTTTCGGATAACTGTCTCTCGGGTCCGCGGTGTTCTTATCATGTGGGTCCGCCGTTGTGGTTTCTCAGGGCGGGTCTCGGTGTGGGAGGGAAGAGTCCTTTATTATTGTTCTTGTTTCCTTTGGATCGGTCTCCGAGGGCTCTTTTCTGGAACGGTCGGTGCGATACCTGTACTTCCCTATATTTTCTTAACATCACACAACAAATCAATCTCTATCTAGAAACAAGTTTAAGAGAGACTAGCAATGAATCCATAGCGTGAGCGAAAGGCTACCTACACATGTATGTCTACGGTTTCTTTTCTTTCGATCATTTTTTTTTTCAATATCACACAACAAATCCATCTTGTTTTCTTTTCCCTATTTTTGTTTTGTTTCCCCGCGGCGTCGTATGTGTCGGGTTTTGAGACCACGGGCTCCCCATTTTTGGTGGACTAGTCTATATTGTAGTTGTTTTGTTGTTGTTGTTGTTGTTTCTCACATTAGCCCTAAAAAAAAAGATTGGGAGCCCGTGGTTTCAAAACCCGGCATACACGACCCCACGAAGAAACAGGAAAAAATAGGGTACAAGAACCACTCGGAAGAGAAACAAAATGATAGAAAGAAAGACCAGCTACCGCACCAAACGAGAAAGAGCGTCGAGGAGACCGATCAAAATAAAATAAAAGGAGAACGGGGAACGCTTCCCACACCCGCCTACAACGCCGGAGGGTTCCGTGCCGGGTTCCCGCCGACCAGGCATCCCCCGCCCTGCACCACACCCCAGGGGGTGCAGCAAGACGGGGGGCGAAAAACAAACACATATATATTCCCACAAAAAAATAAAAAAATCGAAGGACGACGTACACCAGTACCAGGTACAGCAGTGCAGTATGCACCAGCGCATTAGTGTAGGGTGTCTAGAGGTGATGTGAGAAACAACAACAACAACAACAACAACAACATAAACAGACAAACTGCTGCATTATAAATCACGAAGATCTCCTTGTTGTTTCGTCCAGACGATGGTTGTATATACAAGGGGTACTTGGCCCGCCCGCCGCCCTTCAATACCAGCGGGGGGCAGGTCTCGCGTGCGGGGGGGGAAGTGGGAGTATCATTTGTTGTGGATGTATCGACTACAGACTACACTGTACCTCGGGGATCATCAGGAGTGAGTGGGGGTAGGCAATTTTTGACACACATTTGCTTGCGTGGACATAGATGTTGTTCGAGTATTTGGAGGTAGACCACGAGGCCACCGTGCGCAAACGGAGACTGTGTTTCGCGGGGCTTCGTTGTGCGCATGGAGGACAACCGCCTCCCCAAGCGCATGCTGTTACGAGTGATGGCGGGGAGGCGTGGGATACCGGGGCGGGCACAAGAGCGGCTGGATGTCTCGTCTAAGAGATCCTGGCCTTCAACATGGGAGACGAAAAGGAAGGGGGGAAATGGGAAGGGAGCGCCAAGGACGCGGAGGTGTGGTACAACAAGGTCGGGGACGGCGCGGCATGGCTCATGAGGAAATGGCACAAGCAGGAGGCGGAGACGCGTCCGCGAAGCGCCAGCGCGCGAGGGAAGCAGAAGCAGAGAGTACGGCCATCTCAGGACCGAAGAGAAAGAGAGTCGGGGAAGCGGCGGTGGGGGGGAAGAAACGGCGACCGGGCACTGCTGTAGAAGCGAGTAGGGCGGCCGAGGCGGCACTTGTGGCGAACTGTTTGTTGTTGTTGTTTCCACATTAGCTCTGTAGTCCACAAAGAATTTGGAGCCCGTGGTCTCAAAACCCGGCACATACGACGCCGCGGGGAAACAAAACAAAAATAGGGTTCAAGCTACAGGAAGAGGGCACACTGCAGCTGCTCCTGTGAGACGAAACGGGGAGCTGCTGTAGAGGTTACCGCGGTCTACTTTAGACACAAGGCTTTAGGTGACCGAGCGGGAAACAAGGCTTTAGGTGACCGAGCGGGAAACCCTTAGGTGACCGAGCGGGAAACCCTATGGCGGATTCGAATGAGGGAGGGGGAGCTGGCGGCGGCGTTGGCGGCGTTGGCGCTGGCGGCGGAAACGTCAATTTAGCTGACGCCATCAATGGACAGGGTATCGCACTTCAAGCGTTGGTTAACCGGGTGGAACACCTGGCGGCCCAGATCGCGCCTCAGAATCAGCCGCAGCAGCAGGCTCAGCAGCAACCACAGCCACAGCAGCAGCAGCAGGCTCAGCCGCCACCACAGCAGCAGCAGCAGCAACCTGGCGCATTACCGGGACAGGCGGCGGAGCAAGCCGAAGGCGCCCAGGCGGCGGGGGGACAGGGGGGCGGAGACCAGCAGGAAGGGGACGGGGCGGCTGTTGTGGTGTTGCAGCAGCAGATGAGTATGGTTATGGGCCAGCTGGATTTGTTGATCCCTCATATAGAGGCGTTGAGTCAGGCGCACGCGGGCCAGGAGGGTGCGGCAGCAGCGCAAGTCCCCCCCCCTGTTGGGGGCGAACCTCCGGCGATTCCCGGGGTAGTGGGAGGGGTCTCCACTGGCCAGCGCGAGGCGGAAAAACGTGAGTCTAAGGACTGGGTGGCAAAAGATGGGATGCGGCGGTGGTTTGCGGCGGCCTACATTGGGCAATCTGTCAACATGTCGCGGCTGCAAGAACAAGTGGGTGACGAGCTAGTCGTGAACGATTCTGTGTTTAAGATGCTCAACACTTTGTCCGGACTGAAGATCAAGCCATTTGCGGCACGCCAGGTTCAGATTGGTAAC